GCTCAACGTCGAATTCATCTTGGTCTTTCAGATGATGATCGACATTCTCATTTAAATGTTATTAAAATGCTTTCATGTCTTATTGCTGAATATATTATTCGATTTGATAATGATCAAACAAATAAATCACCAGATGTTGATATGCCTCCATCGAAAGTATAAGTTATTAATGAATTTATTTTATGAAAATAATTTTATTTATTTATAATAGAAACGCAAAAAAGCTAAAGCATCGAAAACTAATGAAAAATCAAGTTTAACATCTGATTCATTGAGAGATAAATGTTTAAAAGGTCTTTGTGATATTATTCGATCACATATTAAACCATTATGGGATCCTTCAATCATTGATGAACAATTTGTTAAGTAATAAAAAAAACAAATTATATATTTTCTTTTTTTTTTACTTATTGAAATTATTCTTTGAAAGATGTGTTACTAAACCATGTTATCATTTAATACGTCGAACAGATATTGCAAAGAATCCAATTGTAAAAGAAAATCTTCCATTAATACTTACGATTATGATTAATAAATTTGAACATGCACGAGGTATATTTTAAAATAAGAAAAATAATTGAATAATATTATTTTATTTTGTTATATTTCAGAAGCTTCTATTCAATTTATTCAAGCAGTTAAACTTTATAATAGTAATTCAAGTTTATTGATTGATGTTCTTAATTTACTTTTAACTAATTATCAAGATACATCATTAGCTATTGAATTTTTAAAGTTTGTTTATTTATTTGTCTTGTTTTTTTGAAATAACAGTTTTCAATTTATTTAGAGAAATTCGTGAAACTAATTTTGTTGCTGCACAAGCTGATAATGCATCTGCTAAAACCGTGGCTACATTTATTATTGATATGGCTAGACTTGATCCAGATATTATTCGAACACATATTGATCAAATAACTGATCTTTTAACAGCTGAGGTAATTTTCAAAACAATATAATAATTAAGTCAGCCCCATAGAGTTTTATTTTATTGAGTTATTAATTAGTAGAATGGCATAAAAATGACAATAGTTTTCACTGCGTGCGTTGCTATTTACAAATACTACAATCTCGAAGAATATGTTTGAAAACTAAATCGTGTATTTTGTAGAACCTTTTTCACGCTACAAAATTTAGATGGAAAGTTTTTCAAAAAGTTGAGTTTATTCATTGTTGGTGACAGAAGTTAATACGAATATAGAAACAAAAAAACTTCTTATAATGTAATAAAAACTTCAATAACCAATTCTAAATAGTAAAAACTCTTGTTCAGGGATTAATATAGGTTATGGTGTGGAGTCTATTCCTGAGTCAAGAAATACGGACTGCTTCTAATGGTAAAACTCAGGAAATAATGGTAGGAATTCGGCAGCAAGAATTCGGTGACCAGTTACAACCAGAACTAGAAAACTTCGATCATTAGATTTCTGCGTCCAAGTTTGTAACATTCTCCGAGTTTTCCGACCAGGAATTCACGTATCTGAACGTCTGAATTATCGATTTGGATTCTATAACTGTTAGATTCTTCGTCATAACGTTAGAGTGTTATTCACTAATTACATTGCAATTAATTAGTTAATTAATTTTAATTAGGTATGAGCTTATATTTTTACCTATATTCATGGGAAGAGAACTTGTTCAAAAAAATTAACTCTAAAAAGAATTGAACATGATCATGTCCTGTATTTGCAGATGTTGCCCGTATAATATATATTAAGAATCAATATAAACAATTTCATTATTTTAGAGTCGTCATATTCGTGTTGCTGCTTTAACAGCATTATGTTCTGTTATTGAAAAACTTCTTTCATCTGAGGAATTAGATGATGGACAAG